TATAGTTGTTGACTTTCACGCCCCTTGTTGTTTAAATGATAAGTTTGAACTATTAATTTAAATCATCCTAAAGCTGCAAGCTATTGGTAGACATAATTGTGAACAAAGATACTGGTTTGTAGTTAAGTAGAAAGCTACTCAATATGCTATTTGTTGTGCCCTTCGAAACCCGGTTTCTAGCCTTATAAGTCCGTAGGCTTACAGCTGTACTGTAAGTATCATTCGTACTTCATGAAAAAAAAAAATGTTTTATAAGTTTTTGAAATATAGTTAAAGTGTTTTCCTAAAGATCCAGCTGGAGTGAGTTTCAGCTGAAAGTCCGAGTAAGATGACACAACATTTTGTGTTCCGAGTGAGCTGACACGACATCTTGTGTTTCCGCATTCCGTACTCGGGCGTGACATAATCGTTTATTGTTCCGATCTTCTAACAGATTCACTTTCTTGGTCATATATTAGCAGTTATTGAGTGCATGAAGAAATATCAGTTTTTAATTTAAAAAATCCCACAAGTACGAAACATCTCGGTATTTCTGTAGCTTTGTCATACTCTGACCGTGGTAACATTTAGTCTGACCTTGGTAACGTGTGGTAACATTTAGTCTGACCTTGGTAACGTGTGGTAACATTTAGTCTGACCGTGGTAACATTTAGTTTAGTCGTGGTAACATTTAGTCTGACCTTGGTAACGTGTGGTAACATTTAGTCTGGCCGTGGTAACGTGTGGTTACGTTTAGTTTGACCGTGGTAACATTTAGTTTAGTCGTGGTAACGTGTGGTAACATTTAGTCTGACCGTGGTAACATTTAGTTTAGTCGTGGTAACGTGTGGTAACATTTAGTCTGACCTTGGTAACGTGTGGTAACATTTAGTCTGACCGTGGTAACGTGTGGTAACATTTAGTCTGACCTTGGTAACGTGTGGTGACATTTATTCTGACCGTGGTAACATTTAGTTTAGTCGTGGTAACATCTAATCTGACTGTGGTAACATTTAGTTTAGTCGTGGTAACGTGTGGTAACATTTAGTCTGACCGTGGTAACATTCAGTTTAGTCGTGGTAACGTGTGGTAACATTTAGTCTGACCGTGGTAACATTTAGTTTAGTCGTGATAACGGTTAGTATAATCGTGATAACGTGTGTTAGCATTTAGTCTGACCGTGGTAACGTGTGGTTACGTTTAGTCTGACCTTGGTAACGTGTGGCAACATTTAGTCTGACCGTGGTAACATTTAGTCTGACTGTGGTAATGTGTGATAACATTCAGTCTGATCATGGTAACAGTCAGTATAATCATGATAACATGTGGTAAGATTAGTCTCGTCCTGGTAACATATGAAACTGTTCTTATGGTATATATTTATCTAGCCTAATGGTAATCTGTGGAATATTTTACCATAGTCTAGTGGAAACATGTTAGACACTTTGTCTTATTCCAGTAATAACGTGTTGGAAACTTATAATAGATTACTGGAACCACAAGTCCAGAATACCAGCTAACTGAACCAAATATTACGTATTTAGCTAATGCTAGTGAAGCCTTTTTTAACGAGTCCACCTCGGCTTTATTCTGCTATATTTGAATACAATACTTTTAACTACAGAATTAACAGTGCGTTTCTAAGAACATTTTACTAAACTTTTTCACATTAGCCCAAGGTTTGAGGGTGAAACGTCTAGACAATCAGTTTTCCCATTATTTAATCAAACGAAAGTTACGGACGGAATTTAGCCCTTGTGTAGCTCTGAAAACAATCTATAGACAACCAAATGATGAGCGAGGCTTTCTGAATTAAACCACTGATTATATACACAAAAAAATAAAAAAATAATTAACGTGCTGAAGAAACTCTTAAGGTGGCACATACATCTATCAAACTGGAAATTTAAATTAAGATTATACATTTCATGATTGTAAGTACGAGAAAACATCCAACACAGCAAATCACATATAAACATATAACAACAGTATAACTATACATTTCATGACTGTAAGCATGAGAACACATCTAACAAAGCAAATCATGTATCAACATATAACAACAGTATAACTATACATTTCATGACTGTAAGCATGAGAACACATCTAACAAAGCAAGTCACGTATCAACATATAACAACAGTATAACTACACATTTCATGACTGTAAGCATGAGAACACATCTAACAAAGCAAGTCATGTATCAACATATAACAACAGTATAACTACACGTTTCATGACTGTAAGCATGAGAACACATCTAACAAAGCAAGTCACGTGTCAACATATAACAACAGTATAACTAAACATTTCATGACTGTAAGCATGAGAACACATCTAACAAAGTAAGTCAAAGCAAGAGATTCTGTCTAAGTCCATGCTTCCGTAAGAAGCTATAGAGAGATTCTGTTTATGTCGATGTTTTTGAAAGAAGCTACAGAGAGATTCTGTTTAAGTCTATGTTTCCGTAAGAAGCTACAGGGAGATTCTGTCTACGTCCATGTTTCCGTAAGAAGCTACAGGGAGATTCTGTCTACGTCCATGTTTCTGTAAGAAGCTATAGAGAGATTCTGTTTAAGTCTATGTTTTCATAAGAAGCTACAGAGAGATTCTGTTTAAGTCTATGTTTCTGTAAGAAGCTACAGAGAGATTCTGTTTAAGTCTATGTTTCTGTAAGAAGCTATAAAGAGATTCTGTTTAAGTCTATGTTTCTGTAAGAAGCTACAGAGAGATTCTGTCTACGTCCATGTTTCTGTAAGAAGCTACAGAGAGATTCTGTTTAAGTCTATGTTTCCGTAAGAAGCTATAAAGAGATTCTGTTTAAGTCTATGATTCTGTAAGAAGAAACAGAATCTCTCTGTAGAAGTCCATATTCCCGTAAGAAGCTACAGAGAGATTCTGTCTACGTCCATGTTTCCATAAGAAGCTACAGAGAGATTCTGTTTAAGTCTATGTTTCCGTAAGAAGCTATAGAGAGATTCTGTTTAAGTCTATGTTTCTGTAGGAAGCTACAGAGAGATTCTGTTTAAGTCTATGTTTCTGTAAGAAGCTATAGATAGATTCTGTTTAAGTCTATGTTTCCGTAAGAAGCTATAGAGAGATTCTGTTTAAGTCTATGTTTCTGTAAGAAGCTATAGATAGATTCTGTTTAAGTCTATGTTTCCGTAAGAAGCT